TAAGGCACCTTGGAAGTCCCATTTGGTCATTCTCCCACGTGCTGCTATATGGGCCAGCTTTATTCAATGGGGAATATCTGTTCAAGCACAAACATAGTATTATAGACAGTGAGCTAGGCAGGAGTATTACAGGCAGTGAGATAGGGTTAGGTCCTCCAGCGGGTCAGCAGAAAGGTGAAATACACCACAACTGCCGAAAACCAGGCCTCCAGATAAAGACAGGATGACCAGATCTACATATTTCCTCAAAGAACAAACACTGGGCCTAAAGAAGGCTAGATGGACATGGGCCACCTCTGGATCCACCACTTCCTAGGAGAATCCTTGTCCCTTCCATCCACGCTTTTTAGGTGACTTGTTTCCCAGGTGGGCCGCCGTTATCTAAGCAACTATACTTGAAATTTTATCAGAATTTCAAAGCTGTGGCTCACATTGTATCCCTGTGGTGTTCACCCTATAAAACTCCTCTGTAGAGTTCAGTTCCCCAGGCGTCCCACTCAGGTACCTCCCGTCCCCCTCAGGAGCCTTTCTATCAATAAATATCTTCCTGCTCTTAACCTCCATTGTTGCTAGGGCTCCTTCTTGAATTTCTAGAGAACAAAAACTTGGTGTATCGTACCATTAGCAGGTTGGGAAATATAATATCACACATTTCTACTCCATTACTATTTACTGTAGTAACAGTAAGACATGAAAATCTTTGAAAAATTTCTTTGAAGCTGATTACAATACCAAAAACATTTTTTCAATGTAGAAATAGACAAGCAGCATGTAAGGCTCTATCCTAAAGCTACAAAACACTGCTCTGAGAATTTAAATAATTCCTAAATAGATAAAAACAAACTGTCACTCAACTTACGTTTGTATCCTTCTTAAATTAATCTGCTGAAATCTGAAGCCCTAGTAGATGGCATTTAGAGGTGTAATTTAGGATATCCTGTCAGGAGGGTTAGAATTCCCAAGATGGGATTAGAGAAGAGGAAAGAAGAGGAAGAGGAGGAGGAGAAGGAGGAAGAGGAAGAAGAGAGCTAGCCTGCTGTGTTTATGTCATGTGAGGGTACCAAAAGAAGTTTGTTGTCTGTGGCCAAGAAGGCATTCTCTAGAACCTGGTCATGATCTTGACTTTCTCAGACTCCAGAATTGTGATAAGTAAATTTCTGTTGCATACAAGTTGCCTAGTTTATAATGCTTTTATAAAGCATCATGAAATATTATGCTATGTTAATAGACTGGATGGATCAATGATGTTTAAGTGTCATTTCTTCTCAAATTAACGTGTGATACAAATTCAATGAAAGCCTAATCAGAATTATATGTAGAAATTGACATTTTGATTCTAGAATTCATAGGGAAATTCAATATCCTTGAAAAAGAGAAGAGCTGGAGAATATACACTATTTGATTTCAAATCTTAAAAAAAAAAACTAGAGTACACTGTCAAGAAAGCTACAAAGTCAGACAAATAGTTCCATTAAACAGAATACAGGGTCCAAAACTGGATATGTATGTGTACAAGTAAATGATCCCCTCCATCCCAACTCAAACGACACACAGAGTTAGATCAAGATGGATTATAGACCTAAAATGTGAGAGCTAACGCTTAAAACTCTGGAAGGAAAGAAGATATTCTTATGACATTGTGGCAGGCAGTGATCTCTTAGAGAGAATGTAATGAGTATTAATCACTTAAAAATAAGGAACAAAAACTTTGATTTCATCCAAACTAGACCTAATACCACAGCTCCAAAAATTAGAAAGACTGGAAGAAATATTTGTTATTTTTATAAATGGTAAAAGATTCATATTCAGTCTATGTGAAAAACTACTGAAACTCAGTCCCAAATATTGGTGGTGCAATTATAAAAAGGTATAATTACTTCAGAATTCATTTCAGCATTTTTTACAGTTAACATGCATTTAGCATACAGTTAGACAATTCACTTCAGTACACTCTCCTGGTAGAAGTTAAAGCAGGCCATAATAAAGCTTATTCTTGGAAATTTATAAAAGCTTTAATCATAATAATAAAATAATAAAAATAGTGATATCAACAGGAGAATAGATAAACATATTTTAATGTATCTACACATTGGAAAACTATCAGAAAGTAATAAAATGATATCACATAGCATGGAAGAAGTTTAGTAACATTACGATGGCTGGAAAAACAGTAGATGTGAAAGAATAACACGCACGACTCCTTTTATGTGAGATTTAATAACAAGTAAAACAAATACATGGTGTCACAAACTGGAATGGTGGTTTCCTACGAGGGGTAGAAGTTGACTGGAATGAATGGACACGAAGTGACTTTGCTGACCCCAAGTCCTTTCGTCAGGAGTAATTTTTGTAACACCACATGGGTGCAATGCTACCAACTGCCATCAAATATAGCTGTTCAGCTAATATTGGTCCAACAGGGCAGTGAATCACATAGCAAGGGTATATGGAAAAAAGGAATTATTAGAAAGGGGTGGATCTGATGCTCTGGCCACCCACCTGGGTGACTGATGCCCAGCTGGACTTTCTGGATTAGATGGTGCTAATTACAGTATTAGCTTGGTTATGGCTTAGGGAAGCAGGTAGACCCGCCTCTCCCTTAGGAGACAGGTAGGCCTGGTCCTTGTGTCTTTATATTGAGCCTGGCCTTTTTAAGATGTACCTCTAGCCACTTATCCTTCCTGTTGACTTCTTTGAGAGCTAGCTCCCTCTCTATCCATTATTTGTGTGTGTGTGTGTGTGTGTGTGTGCCGGGGATTGAACTCGGGTCCTTGTGTTTGCAAGGCAGGCCAATGAACCGCTGAGCTAAATCTCTGGCCCTATATCCATTAATTTTTATCTAACTTAGCTGCCTATAGTACTCAGGAGACTGTGCATAACCTGCTGGACATGTCCCCTGTGACCTGTGTAAAATGAAACCCACGTTTCATTAAGATGGCAGGAGGGCTCAACAGAAGATAGAACTGGTGGTGTCCTGCTCTATCATCTGTCAGATGGCTTCTGGTTGGATTTGTCCACTCGAACAAATTGTAGGAAGAGAGAAGAGAGAAATCAGGATTGTTTCTCCTTCACTCTCTCCGTGGGAGAATGTCTCTAACCACAGCTATGCCTCATTCCATTTATGGACCCAGCTTTCACAAAATAACACCTACTCCTGGGCTCCTTAATCCTGCATGGACACTCCAGCCCCAGCACAGTAGCTGCTCACTATTGTTGCTAAGCCAGGAGTTGCCTCACATCTGCTACTGTCTTTTCAGCATCCCCGTTCCTTGTTTGCCCCCATTCCTACATTAACTTCCTCCATCGTAAAATCACAGTACGAGTTCTATTTCTATGGAAATAAGAAAGAGTAGTACTGTATATAGATAAGTTAGTTGGAGATCTCCCAGGCATTTAGAGAGGACCACCCTCAAGGCACCAGCCCTCAAGGAGCCAACACAGGGAAGAGCCAACACGGAGAACATTTGAGGCACATTCACTGGTTAGCATTCTAAAAAGAAGAGGCACTTCTTCCCCTAGAGATAGATAGCAGTGATTGATATTCTAAATGGAAAATTCCTTGTATGGGACTTGTCATCTCATTTGATCCCCATGTAATTAATATTACCTGGGTGACTTCACTTTTAATCTGATTGGTTGCTCTTGACTTTGTCCCACCTCACGCCCACCTTGTAATTTTCCACTGGGTCTTACGGGTCTGTCCCACTTTGTACCCGCCTCACCTCATGGCTTCGCTGTATAAAACACCTTTCCAAAGTGGGACAGGAGCACAAACTGTTTTCTGGTCCCCCTTCTGCCTCACATGGGTAGAAGCTTTCATTCTCTCAATAAATTTTCACTTCTCTTAATCTCTTATGTTCCTAGAATTCATTCTTCAACTTTAGAAAATACAAATATGTGCTTCAGATACCTAGCAGGATAGGGAATTACACCGATTTCCCTTATGTAAGTAGCAAAAGGACCTGAGCACTCATCAGACCCGGCCCAGTTCATTCATGACATTTATTGTGGGTTAGTGCACATTCACATGAGAAATTCAACTGGTATAGACTTGTGCTAAAGTTCAGCTTAATAAGAAGACCAACTTTGACTTAAGGAAATGTCTAAGGGGGTGTGGGGATTAAGGAATGTTTTAAGAAGCCTTTTATTATCTACTATTGTCTCCTTAACATGTACTGAAATTAGCTTAGTGCTTCACTTAGAATAAACACTCCATAAATGTTAACTATTCTCACCTATAAAGTTTCTTGTATTATTCCTCAATAAACTGTTCGCTGGAATTTGGTAGCCCTGAGAAAAACATTGATAATTAACTTTAGGCTTAAGGGCTTATACATAAACAACTATATTAAGAAAATGTCTTAATAAATCTCACCTAGGGAAAAAAGAGAACTTCCCTAATGAACTAAAACTGTGCTTGTTCGAAACGACATCTAAATACTTCTGACGATGAAAAAGTTCTGGAAAGAGCAGTGATAGCTCCACAATATTGGGGATGTACTTAATACTGTGGAATTGTACATTTTAAAATGGTCAAATGATGGAAAATATTTTAACAAGGATTTTAAAAAACTTGAAAATTATCTAAAGAAATCATTAAATGTGGAGTTTTCAGATATCTGATAAAATTCATTTTTAAAGAATATGATCTTTAAAAGTATATGTAAATATGTGTTACTCCAGCGTTCTTCATTTCAAAGCACAATAATAAAGAAAATGTAAGAGAAAATGAGGCATAGTTTATTTCCTTTCCACTTCAGCCATCTGTTCACATTAGCCACAAAGAAGCATCCTTGTAAAATTACCACGTTATAATTCAAGTCTTCGACACGATGTACACATCGCCAAATGACTGTGGCAATGACATCATTGTAAAGGTCGTGATCACACGACAATTCAGATATGCGATCATTCAAAACATCGGTAAAGTAACCATTCTTCTTTTTTGTCAGATTGTAAATGCCTCTATTCATTCCTTATTCAAGAATCTGGCTTTTCAGAGAGAAGAGAGAATCCCAACCCAGCCACGGAGAGACAAAGCTCGGACAGGAGGAGCGCCGGGTCCTGAGGAGCAGGCGGGAGAGGAGACAGAGCCAGGCACTGTGAGCAGAGGGAGGAGATGAATGTGCATGGAGCCGGCCTAATTATCCGAGAGTGAAAGGTCGTCAGAACCAATTTGCGGCATGATGTACAAAGGTCATTATCAGACTCAGATTTTCTCTGCCCATTTAAAACACAATAAAAATAAAGTGAGTGCTTTAATAACTATGATTAGCAAAGAAAAAAAAGCATATCATTGAGCCATCTGTTTAAATATTTGTGCTACCTTAGTTTTACTCAAAACAGCGTGAAAGATGAGCAGGGAGGCAATTTTTTTCTATTTGTTTGCGTTTTAAATCCTGACATTTTCTCCACTGGTTGCTGAGATTTATAACACAGATGAAAGTGCTCCTCTGAAATTACTGCCCTTTGAAATCAATAGCACAGTATTTGTAACGACTTTCTTTTTATTATAGAGCACTTCATTATTATTTTTATTATAATTTTATGGGAGAGTCTGGAAGAGAATCCATCATTCACTTGTTTGAAGCGTCTCACTTACTCAGTGGTGCAGATGGCCGGATCTGAGGAGACTTAATCACCCTATGTTAGCGCTGCTTTGATGCTAAGAAAACGTAAACCAGGAGGCAGACAGGAAGCAGAGGGCAACAACAACATTATCTTAGTCTCCGTTGAAAACTCTATGGAAACTGATTCATTTGGGAACTTAGAATTCAACAGTACAAAGCTGGAGCTTTTTATTTATTTTTATGTTTTTCTAAAAATTAATATAATTAACATACTACCTTTCAGGGCAGGTTTTAAAGTTTTGTTTTTAACAGCATCTATCATTGCAAAATACATTTTAGTTTGTCGACACTCACAAGGACATTCATACATGTTCTGAAAGAAACATTTTAAGAAGCTGAATTTGTTATTTTCATAATTATAATGCTATTTTCTATTCTTTAAATGCCAGTCATAATCGACTAAACTATTTTAATAAATGGATCTGGGCTCTCAGTTTGAAAAAAAACTCAGCATGTTCTTTTATGGTTTAAATTAAAATGAAATATGGGTGTGAGTACTTACGTAGTATCTGGCACATAGTAAATATTTGATATTTGCAGTAGTTATTAAGAGAAGTACTTTGACTGGACTTTTACAAATTAATAGTTAAAAACAACCAGGAAATGTGCTGTATATAGAAATTAGTTCTCCGGTATTGTTTGTTTCTATTCACGCTGTTCTAGCCTTGATCTACATACTTGATTAAGAAGCTTGTCCATTATTATAGAATACCTGCATTCTTAGACAAGAAGACTATAAACCTACAAGAGAAATAGCCGTAAAACTGAGGTTTCCATTTTACTTTAACTTCCTGATTCACTTACTAATTAATTTCTCTCTATATCATACAATTCAGGCAAAATAGAGAATTATACATTCTATAAAATACTATAATTTTTTAAAGAGCTACAAAATCAAAGAAGGAAGTAAGGAAAAGGATAACAGAAAGCAGAAACACGAATGAGGAAAAAAATGAACACTACCCTAACTTTTGACTGGATGCTACATTACTCACCCTACTCAAGCTTGTAAGGAGACTTCTGAAATCGTTTAGACGACTGAAATATTTTCACCTTTGATTTGTTCAGTCATTAAATATAAATGTATTATGAGCCTATGTTCCGAACTCAAAGGACTGGAAATTGTATGCATGCTTAACTTGTTAGTTGAGTGGGATTACCTTTGTAAAATTTAATTTTTTAGTTTACCTTTTATAAATATATTTTATGCTTCTCTTGAGATGAGCCAATCCCAAATCAAAACAACACATAAGCATGCATTTCATGAAATTTTCTGAAATGTGTTCCCTTAGTTAAGAAGGAGAGTGTGAAAAATCACAATAGCATGCACTTTGAAGTTAAGCTGAGACAAGATTCATTTGTATTAGCCCTGCTGGGAACCAAGCAGAGTGCACTTTCAAGGAGATCAATGGCCAAACATGAAGAAGAGGTGATAAAAGTCAAATAAGAAAGGCAGGAAAAGATAGCTTCTCTTTCTATACACACTGATGTCATTTCCATCCAGAGGATGAAAAGAGGAGAATTTTTCATTGTGCCCTTTAATATCCACTATTCAATAAAGGTTGAATGTTACTTGTTTATCTGTGCTATAGCCGCAGACCTGTGGGATGTTTATTTTACACTAACCTCTGTAATGACAAGAAAGTAATAACAAAAATTATGAATGGGCTTAAAAATGATGGAGCCAGGCAGACGCCTGCTGTGTGAGATGGAGTGTGAGTTCATTATGCAGGAATGCTGCATCAGCAGAAGCAAATAAAAGTCAGGTAGGGAGGAGGAGTTGCCCAGCGTTTCCTTTCATTTTGTGCTCCTATTATTACCAGAAGTGGCCTCTCTGAAACTTCAAGCCCCATTTGAAGGAAATCATATTAACAGGAATTTTAGCATAAACTGGGAGAAATGACACACTACAGGACGCGGTGAGCATGGGTGGTTCTGTCAAGCACTGTTGACCTAAAGGCTTTAAACGCTGAAGCCCAATTACAGAAGTGAAAGGGTCAGAAGAGAAAATACCTGGAAAAGTACCTGTTCTCTTCCTCACCCAGCTGAGCTCAAGATAAGATTTCTCATGGTAACCCTCCTGTCAATAAGGGAAGGGAATGTACAAAGAAGTAAGATGCATGTGCAAACTATCCTCAATGAGCGGAATCATCATGTACTGCATACATCCACTAATAATAATAAAATAGCAGGACAAGCGATTATCAGTGTCACAGTGGCACACCCCTGAAATCTCCGCATTCTGGAGGCCGAGGCAGGAAGGAGGATTGTAAACAAGGTGGCGAAGACTGTAAATTAAAAATAGTGCATGAGCAAGAGTCATCTCTTCCTTGGGTGATGCCAGAAATCCGGCTATGCAGTCACCCTCATGTCTAGTTACTTAATCACAAGATTCTGGTCATCATATTCAGCAGAAAAGTTTGGGCTAAACACAGACAGGAGATGAGGTCAGTCCTTATGTCCAAGGAAGGCCTGAGCTCAGCAATCAAAGGGCCTGATTCAAACCCTGGCTCTGTTTCAGTATTGTTCCATACAATGAGCCTTGACACTCTAATCTGAGTAATAGGGATGTAAATAGTTTATGAAATCGTTGGGGAAATTAAATTAGATAATCCAGGTACAGCCTAGAATCACACATAGGCTATAACAAGCCTACAATAAATTTTCTCTTTTTTCTGTTTTATTGTAACAATCAAGTTCCTAAAGTATGTGTTTTTATGTCACCTGATATGAGTGCTTGATACAAAAGAGAAATAGTTTGATACAACCTGGAAATAGTTCCAGATTGCTTAATAAGTACTGTTTTGTGCATGATAAAATTGTGCCCCAGAGCCGGCACAGGTTGGTTAGTGAGCTATGTAATCAGACCTAAAAGCTGTGTCTCAGCTCCCCCAGACCATCCGAAGGGGTCTCACTGAAAGCAGCGGATGAATGCAAGGGAGAACTGAATGTGTGCACCAGACTCAGGTGCGCCACCTCCCCACACCTTTCTCTAAGAGCACATGATTCTGTTGCTGTCAGGGGAGCTGCTCCTTAGGGCTCCGGACACGTGAAGAATAACACCAGGGGCAAGTCTGGTGAGTGATTCCAATCAGGTATAAATTAAAGCGGAGAAAATTGTTACCCCGATCCTAAGATTAATTTTGGGTATTCTTGGGAGGAGAGGAGGGAAACAGGAAAGAGGAAGTGGGCGTAGAGAGGCAAATAGCTACGAGGGGTGGGGGCAAGGGGCAGAGAGACGGGGGAGAGATGACTGTGTAGGGCCTTTTACCTATCGGACACCAAAGCTTAACTATCGCACGGTTTCTCTTTCGGAGAAACTCAAGCTATAAATAAAGAGCAAAATGGAAGATAACAGGAAGTAGAGAGATCTTTCTCAAATGGGGAGGGTGTAAAGCGGAGGGATAGAGGGGATAGAAAGGGGGTGAAAACAGAAATGAAGGTGCGCTGTGTACACCTACCAACTCCACACAAGAAACGTAAACATGTACTGCACACATGTACTTAAAAAAAGTTCAGCTTCTGAACTATATTTTGGGATCCATGAGAAAAACAAATTCCAGGTAAATTATTTAATATCGCAGTATACACAGGTCAACTTTTCCTCGGCAGAAAATCAGTCAATCTCTTTACCTACATTAAAGCCAACAGTTGAGAAATAATAGATTAAACGTATAGAGGGCCCTGCAAGGGACATAAGACTAAAAGTCAAAACATGAATTTCAGCTGAGACTTCATGGCCTTAGGTCTCCTTCTGGTTGTAAACTTTTTTGTTTAGAAACAGAAGACTCATAGGAATACGACATAAGCAAAAAAACCACACACATATTATGGACAAAGAAAAAAATCAGACTACAATAAAACACTTGCACAAACTGACATCCTCAATATATCAAATGCTGCAGAAAGCAAGGCACCTTACTGTAGATAGCTAATTGAATAGAGGATTTGTGTGAAAGAAAACAACTGGGTACACATAATGTTGGTGTGTAATACATGAGAATAATCTTGTAGATTATTCCAACTGTAGAAACTCCTATTTATAAACAGTGAAGAAAAGAACCCAGGACAGAATAAGATAAAGGAGCACATGTAACTCATTTACATACTCAAGTTTCATGGCTTTAATGAACACCGCAGGTAAAGATAACTTTTTTTCTTCTTAGATCCATTACAAGCTGTTTATAGAGACTGAATACTATTTCAGCTAATTTGTATAGAAACACTAAAAAGGCATTTTTTTAAACAGTCTGACTTTTAACAGTGAAAGAGATTAACTAGAGCATGTGTTGAGTCTATCTACTTTTGACAGTCCAATAGCTTTCAGAAAACTCTCAAAATCTCTGACCCCAAAAGCGCCATACACATAAATAACGAATTACTTACTATTTCTACTGCTTGATGAGAATTTTCTTGGTCCAGTCAGCCATATCTCTCTGAGATAATACTGAGAGGGAAAGGCACCAAAAGGGGAACAAACTTAAATTCAATGATTGTTCTCTTTAAGATATACATTAAATGAAAAAGATATAACAGACATATTGTAGTGGACAGAAAAACATGAAACAGCATACATCTTTATTATTATCAGCACATTTGCATCAAATTTCTTACTTGTTATTAGATGTGTAGCTCAATGCATTATGGTTACTCTCTGAGAAGCCACAGCAAACCAATTCTGTTTTCTATACTCTGTTAATAAAAACCAGCACAAACTGAGACCACAAATTCCAGCTCTATCCTTGACTTTGCAGTGCTCAGTTGCCACTGTGGTACAGCCAAAAGGTTTTAACATCAGAGACAGCATTATAGAAAATTTTCCTATTGTAACAGCTGGACTCAGAGTAATCTGGGCAGTCTAGGAGACTGAGACAGGAAGATTGAAAATTAGAGTCCAGACTGAGCACTTCAGTGAATTAGGGAGACTGTGTCGGAAAGAAAGAAAGAAAAAGAAAAGAGTTGGGATGTAGTGAAGAGAAAGGGCCCTGGGTTCAATCTCCAGTAGTACAAAAACAAACAAAAAACTCAGAAAACATCTCCCAACCCTAAAAATTTCATATTGGATAAAACAGTATGGAAAGGTTATTTGTTCAGCAACGGATAAACAGAAATGAAAAAAAAAAACATTTAGAGAGATGAGATGTGTTAAAATTGTTTCCCACTGTAGTGTCTTGAGAGAGCTGTTATTCTTCTTGTAAACTTTGCAAAATTCTGACTACTATCAATCATCTTAAAGCTCACATGTTGACCTTCATTTTCTAAAAACTATGACTGTTTCAGATGGCAACCAACTTCAGACAACTAAACGGCATCTTAGTAATGAGGTGTTTGAAGGGATCGTGTTGAGTCAAACCAGGCTCCAGGTAAGTCAACATAAGCACTTTTACTTATTGTTGAAAAGTTCCATGACCATAGTTTTTGACAGAGAAAATCTGTAAGATTTCTGAATGGTTTTCTCAGAGAGAGGCAGAGTGAATATCAGGTATATTTCCCCACAGAAGGCCAAATATTTTGGCTGTAGACAAAATATTAAATATCGGGAACCATGCAAGGATTTCAGGAACAAAAATGTTTTTATTTCTTTTTGGTTTCTAATTTTTAAAAAAATGCTGGGGATTTGGCTCAGTGGTTCCACCGCCTGCCTCACAAGCTCAAGGGCCTGAGTTCGATCCTTGGTACTAAATAAATAATAAATAAACAAAAAATGACCAATTAGTGTGGTGCACTTTAAATTAAAAAAAAAATACTGAGGGTAAACCAAGAGTGGTGGTGCATACCTATAATCCCAGTACTTGGGGGTCTGAGGCAGGAGGATGCTGTGAGTTGCAGGACAGCATGGACTACACAGTGAGTTCAAGATGAGCCTGAAGTACTAGTGAGACCCTGTCTCAAACAACAACAACAACAAAAACCAAACAAAAAACTAAGGGTATGTATGCACTGTGTAGAAAAAAACACTCTCTAGTGTTTCAGACCAGAGAGGTATTAGATACATAACAGGGGACTACACTCAATTTTCCTCACAAACACTGACGCTTGAATGCAATTCTGTGATGTCTTCATGTATTTCAAATACGTGAAATAGCACATCAGCAAGTCATAATTTCTTAAGGAAACTATTTATACATTATACACATCTTTCTCCAAAGTGGTCCTTCTCTCCCATATTTTTGCAGTACTTTATTCTGAAAAGGTTTTAAGATTCAGCAATGTTGAAGGCGCATTACAGTGAACATCTGTACACTAGCACCTAAACTCTCTCATTAACATTTCACTGTGCTCGCGTTTTCCTCTTTCCATCTGTCTTCTCATCCCTCCAGACACCGATCAAGTCATCACGTTTTTCTGATGCAATTGAAAATGCGTTGCAGACACCAGTACTTTTCCTCCTAAATACTTTATCATGCATACCATTAGCTGGCACTCAACATTCACTTACAGTCTTATTCTTATGATGTTAAATTGGCGTACAACAAAAAAACATACCTTAAATGTATCTTAAATGTACATTCTGTGCTTTAAAAGATGCCAACATCTGTGTTACCAGAACTCCTAGTGTGTTGCTTGGGTTTTCGAGAAGCCCCAAGGGTTAGCTGCTTAGGGCGACCCTCAGTTTTGCACACGGGAAGATGGTGGGGGCCAAGCAGGAGGTTGTCAGGTCCCGGGAGGTGCCTTGGAAGGGGCAGTGAGTTCCAGCCCCTTCCTCCTTTTCTCTTCTTGTGAAGTGAGTGACTGGGCTGCACTAAGGGCTCCCTGCCGTGAGGTACCGCCTCACCAACAGGCCAAAAGCATCAGGTCTGCCCAGTCATAGGCTGAAACCTCAAAACTTGCAAGCCAAAATAAATCTCATGGAGATCCAAGTGTACTATATCAGGTATCTGTTACAGTAGTGGAAAACTCACACACCTACCAGAGATCAAACGATGCTGTCACTCCAGTGTACACTTTCCCAGTCAGGACTTGCCACTGGTTTCCTAGAAGCAACATCTACTTTTATTTTTGTTCCCATTATAGACTGGCTTCCCTGGAATCATATACCTTATACTCACCTGTCAGTCAGTCAGCACCTCGTTGAATGTTATCACTTGCTTAGTATTTGTCATCACAGAAGAATATTCTGTTCTGTTTGTTCCACAATTTGCAGATTCATTTCTCATTTATGGATAACAGGGCTGTTTTAAATTTTTGACTGTTATGAATAACGTTGTTGTGAACCTTGCTACAAAGGTTTTAAGAGCCTATATTTTAATCTAGAGATGCTTTTAGTCTTTTCCCACAAAACCAAGAATTCATTGGATTTATTTGGTGGGCTATGTACTTCAGATTAACAAACAAGTTTCAATTTCAAGTCTTATTTGGACTTGATGAATTCTGTGGAGTATTATTTTTTTTTTCTTTGAGCAATTGAGCACAGATGGAAAGAATTTTTAAAAGGAAATAATGACCGTAGGCATCTTCTTGAAGAGTGAATACACTGTTTTCTTCAAATAACTTATATGTAAAATATCATGTAATTCTAGAAGAAAAAAAAAGAATGACTGCATAATATTCGTACTTCTTCTGTAAAGATTGGCTGTGATGTAACATAGCCTGGAGTTATTAATACTGTAAATCTTTCAGAAAGAGATTTCCATGCTTCTTCTTCTGCTGTAAAAAAAAATCCAATATGTCATAGATAAGTGAAACAATTTCAGACTCGGCCAAGATTAGACTGTTACTAATACTCAGGGATAAGGTACATTACGAATTTTAAAAATGCTTCTCTAAATAACTCAATGCATTGAAACAAACTGCGTTGGTATAAGTAGATCATTCCAAATATCCTTCTAAATATGTGAAGCACTGGCTTCTATACGAGTGTGCAAGGGTGATGATTATATTAAGTCCTTCAAGAGAATTAGAAACAGGGCCAGGGATTTAGTGCTGCCAGCTGCCTCATAGGGGCAAGGCCCTGAGTTTGATCCCTGGTACACACACTCACACACACACACACTCACACACACACACAATAATTAGAAACAACTGATTATGTGTAATCCCAAGTTGTAGGAGGTGGTGAAGTAGGAGTGAACAGAAAGTTTCCTTTAAACTCATGTAGCTTTAGGTCAAAAATTACTACGATGACATATAAAGTTTTTTTTTCTGGAAACCTATGAAAAAGAATACATGATTCAAAACCTCTATAGGTATTAGAGAATGATCCTTCGTAAATATGGGAAGATACTTAAATCATAAAAATAGAGAGAGAGAACATATACTTATTTCATCTATTTAAAAGATAAACCTGGTTATCCGTCTATTTCATTTCTATTAATTCACCCAGAATATAGTATTCTCATAACTTTTATTTTTCAGAAAGAAAAATGTACACTACAAAGCAATTCAAATGAAAAGAGATAATATTTTTGGTTAAGAATGCCAAGAAAACTAAATGCTTTTCATCTACAGAATAATAAAAGCCATTACTCTTATTGAAGTGGGTATCCTAATAGCATTGGAAGAGAGAGTGTTGTCTTCTCAAATTTGGGGTTTTTCTAAATTATTTTTATGGATGGGAACAGATAAAAGGGACAGGGCAATGTCTTCTTAGCCATCTGGGTCAGGAGAGCCATCGGGTACTCATTTTCACCCCTTTGGGGGAACCAGTAAACTCTGCTGTAATATTCCAATCTATTTACTAATTGTGATAATCAGAGCATCTGGTTAGGGTTTCCTTTTACTAGGCTGTACTCAAAGGAGTTGATTAGGAGTCAGAATTCCTACTGAGCTTGCTAACTCTCAGCTTCCCCTAGCTCATCTCTGCCCAACTGTAGCTAGACATGTCACCTTGTCACCGGTAGCCCAAGATGGCCCACGTTGAATAGCATCTGACCTCATACAGGAAGTATGCTTTTCACTATTCTAAGAAGCAGCTTCAACGTCTCAGTCATTACTTCTGTAGCTCTCTGCCTGTCCCTACACTGTTGGACTAAACTCTGACTTCTTTTGTCCAGATTCTATCTCCAGTTCTTGCTTCTGTGTTGTTCTGCATTGACTGCTGTAGCAGCCCGTGGTCTCCCAGTCTTCTCCAGATCTCTTCTCTCGGTTATCTACCATCTAGATTCGTGTTCTTGTTTTGCTGTAAGTCTCTGGATTGCTTTCCCTACACCTTTTTGCATTGAACCCAATATTTCATTTTGGACAATCTGCATTCAAAATAGAATGAACCAGAAAATAATTCTGGGATACATTGATTTGGACTAACACTAACTAGCATTCCATTTGGGGGGGGGTTATTCATCTACAACATGGAGAAGTATTATTTTCTAATTTTCTTCCATTTCTGCCATTATGTAATTTTATACATAACTTTATTGTGATAATTATGATCCTTTGTGTGTTAATAAAGTAGGGTCAAATGCATTCCAAGTTTTCGAGTTATGATGATTTTTCTCAAGCTGAGACCATCCGGTCAATAGACAATGGCAGGAATTCTCAACCTGGCTATGCATAAGAAATATATGGGAAGGAATATATTGTTAGAATATATTGTCTGGGTTCTATTTAAACCAATTACATTTAAACCTTGGGAGCAAGGCACATGTAGTTTGTGAAATCTCCAACATGTGAGTCTAGTGCCCAACTAAGATTGTGAAGCATTACAGTGGTCAGCATAGGTCAGTTTATCTGATACGAATTTTTTAATGAGCATTGCAAGAAGTGAATTAGATATTTCCTAGATTATCAATAAATAAATGCAAGAATCCATGAAACAAAATGGTTTGCTGGCACAGCAGGCAAATCTTACTTTTTAGAAGATATAAACAGTGAACTTTGGCTTCAAACTCCTTTGACTCTTCCATATACCGTTTGACCTGAAAGACAGTATTACATAAATGTGATAGAGATGCTTATCCTTTGAAATTATTCCATTTCCCTTAAAAATCAGATGACATCAATTTTTATAAATCAAGAAATCATCGGGCCAGGGATTTGGCTCAGTGCTTCCGGGGCCTGCCTCACAAGCCAGAGGACCCAAGTCTGCTCCCCAGTACCAAAAAAAAAAAAAAAAAAAAAGGAAAAAAAA